TGTATTTTCATCATTTATATATAATTCAGGAAAACATATATGGCCAAACCATTAGGTAAAATAAGAATGATAATGATTTACAGACTCTGACGATTGCAATCCTCCTATTTTTAAGAAGCTGTCAATGGTCCATTTTACAGTAATATGCTTGTTTGCAGTTGAACAGGAGTGAGGCTAAGGGTGACCTTGTTGGGGTTGAAATGTTGCTGCTTTTCAAACGAAAATTACTTTGCTATCATGCTTACTAGATACTAGTCTCAATTACAACAATGTCACCTTCAGCCTCATTTCAAATCAAAGGCCTAGCAACTAAGTACACAACTATAAAAGGGTCCATTATTCTGCTTGACCAATCTCGTTCCCAGGGTCATCTCTTTTCGAGGAAAGAAGAGAGAGGAGCTCGAGAAAGAAGTTGGTACTTTTTAACCTGATAAAGATTTCCACATAACTCGGACAAGTTCTCCAGCGAAGATTTATGCAAACCACGAACGAACAAACTGTAACCGCAAATCTCAATAAATACCTTTCAAGAATTTTTCACTCCTGACTGCTTGTCAAAATTTTAATAACGCTGCAGCCCGTTTCTACTTAATCCCTTTTAAAGCAATGGCTAATTTTTATTTCGGCTGTAAGTAATTTCCCCAACCCCACTCATGAGTCCCTAGCTCGGGAGTAAGCTACATCCACTTTGCCCCACCCCTCAAATACAATGTTTGCGCTCTCAAACCCTCCCCCAGCCTCACCACACCTGTGTTTTATTTTTAATGAGAACACCTTGGCCTGTACCAACTTTCCGGAGACAATCGCCAATAATTATAACGTGCAAAAAATGCAAGAGTCTGGGAAGGAAGAGGCTCTCACTATTCCCAGACCAAGTTTCCAATCTTAATTTCCCGCTCACATCCCATCCGATCCCGTGAACGTGCTAGATTCGCCTTACAGTGGTTTCATCTTCATTGAAACGCACCCGATTTCGGGTTGGGAGTCAAATATCAGGATGTTTTTGAGGCAAATACTTCGCCACAAAATTATTTCAAGAAAACTCAATATTAATGTGATTAACGCAGTTGTATTACACAAATGTTACACATGTTTGTTACGCAATACGAAGAAATTGACAGAGGTTATTCACAAAAAATTTTGTGATAAATTGTGAGGAAATCGAAAAGATGTTCTGCACGTGTTGCAAATTTTCATCACTATTTCCGTTTCGTAGCTTCAATTTTACCTTGAGCTCTGCGCACAAAACAAACATAGAATTCTAATTCCGTAATCTTCGAACTTTATTCGTTAATTTCTTTCTCAGCGACTACCATAACGTATTCGATACATTCAGTAGAATAGGCCTTTTCAAGGGCAATATCAATAATCGGGCCTCCTATGTAACCGACCAACGGACCCCTGATTTTCGCTTGCTCTCGCATAACCGACAGTGTAAGATTGAAATTGCAATAACCCGGTATCACTCTATCGCCTACAAATTCAAATTTTCTCATTTTTAAGCCAATGTCCTTTATCTTCTGTTTGTATTCATCGATTCCATAGCATACATTACTGTATGGAACCATCCAAGCCTTTACAGCTGCTTTTAAGACGATTTGCTTTAGGTATGTTAAATCTTGAAGTGCCTTCAAAGCTACAATGTCAGCCATCAACAGGTTTCCTCCTGGCTTAAGAACTCGGAAGGCCTCTCGAATGAAATCTTCTCTGCTATTCATGTTGGGCCCTCCTTCTACGCAAATGACGTAGTCAAAGGAGTTTTCACCATACGGCATCTTCGTCCCGCTCCCTCGCGTGACAGTGATTCCAGTGTCACGCAGTCGCCGCTTTGCTATTTCCACATTTGCAACACTGATGTCCAGACCTTGGATGTTGCAGCNNNACTTGCAGCTGTACTGGGACTTGATTCGCAACATGCCTGATCCCTGCCCACAAGCGACATCTAGTACGTCATGGTGTGGCTGTATCCCGCTACCTTCCAGTAGCTCATCATATATTCCTCTGTAGCAATCGGGCCGTGGTATAGGATCACCAGACTTGGTCTTCCACAATCCAAATGTAAGAAATCCCTCATTCCAATCATGACTGTTATCCACAACGCGAGAGTAAAACTGGGAAACTTTCTCTTCATGCTCTGTAAATTCCATCTTGATCAATACTCTTTACAGTTAAGGACCTGCATCAGGATAGAGAAAAAGACAACTTTATTGATACTGGTGATAGTTCTCTGGAGCACTTTTCAAGTGTCGAATGTAATCTGAGATTGAAGTAGTGTTGCTTTAATGTGCACGGTAACTGGTCCGAAAAAACTCCCGCCGCTCCCTCAACCAATCACATCAATGCAAACTAAAACCAATCACTGCTTGGTCACCTGCGTTTACCCGCCTTTTCCCGCACTTTTGGCAGGTTGCTTTGAGTTCTTATTGATCCTTTAAGGTCTTTAATGCGTCTATTTCCTTTCTCCTGGTTGGTTGTTTTCAATTTTAAGACGCTCAATCAAAAAGCGCCCTTGACCAGTAAGGTTCCTAATTAAATAAATGAACAAATGCTTAAAAATTATCTTTATCCTGGAGTTATTTAAAGTTATTAAACTGCTAACGTTTAAAGTATATGTGGCGTTGCAAACAAGCGTTCGTCACCAAAGAAGGTAAAAGGTTGCTGGGTTGATTCAAGACATTGATGGTTTCTTGTTTTTCATTGACACGAAAGTTTAAACATGTTCTGAAGCTGTTTTGTTAAATACGTTTTGAAATTGTTTTCCTCAAGGCTGCTTAAACTGAGGTTTGTCGACCGCTCACAACGAAATGATCTTATGCGAAAACTAACTGCGCGAAAACAGAAAAATTATACACAGAACTTAATTTGGTTTACACTCGGCAAACAGCCCTGTTCTCTCAACTGAGATTGACCAGCTAAGCACCACTTGAAGGCCTCCGTAAGGTGTGCCCTCGAGCCGATGGAATAATCAAAACTGAGTTTTCCAGGCTGAAAACGCTAAATTTATACCCATCGAAACGTGTCAAAAAGCGAAAATCGTGTCACTTAAATGGGAGCCAAACCTTGTCAAAATCATGGGTCATTAAAATCATCGGTTATAATAAAGGTCGACCCACGAAAAGCCGGCAGAACTTTTCAAAAGCAACATCTTTTTCCTTTCCCCGAGGCCAGATGGACCTGCGGGTTATGTTCGTGTTAGCAACGTTGTTCTTGCTTTGGTTTTGTTGCTTATACAGCAATTCTTCTCCCCAATGCCCTTTTCAAGTGGATAATTAATTTCTGTAACTTGTGAGACAACTATAACAATTGGGTTTTTCCTCAGTTAGTTCGTGTGAAGGATCTGAGTAAAAAAAAACTGATGCAAATGTTTACAAGTAGCTCTACTGCAAAACCATGTTATCGCCAGTCAACTGAGAAGCAATTAAGAGATGTCCAAGTTTTTACTTACCCGACGTCGTCACGTAATACAAACAATATATTTAGGATTTTGCAATATGCGTAAGAAACCACTCCAAAAAAATTACTTTGGTAACGTCACATTGGTACTCATTGCAAGCTCCTAAAAATATAGAACTTCCACCTTGTCAATTTTTACGAGTGTTAGCGCCGAAGTTAGTTTCCTAACTTTTATCTTGAAAAGAGAATTGGAAAGTTTTGGCTCCTATATAATTTTCATGAGATTGAATCATATTCTTGTGAAACTTCGTAGATTAACTTAAGTTTATTATTTGGAACGGCCAGATTGTGAAAGTGTATTTCCAATGATTGTTGGTTGTGGAAATCAAAATGTGCTACCTGAAGTAAGGGTTGGATACGATTTAGTGAAGAGCAAAGCATAAGTTTGTTTCTTGAAAAAGCTTGAACTATGCACTTGAATGTCAGATTTACCTTATTCAGGCGGCGCTAAGAAAGATGACGGCAATTGAAAATAGAGCTATGTCATGTACTGCCGTATACATTTGCTGAAGCATATAGGAAGCCACGCTATCTCCGATACCTCATGCAAGTTCCTACTTCGTTTTACTTGGATTTGCTTAGTACGATAAAAGCCTTTGGTTTCACGGTTGATTTGAAGTACAAAACCTTGCAGCTTAACAACGGTGTTTGGTTTCTCTTCTTGAGAACTAGTTACATCGTATTCTTTGCAGTATTACATAATGACCACGGTCACAAACTTCACGAGGTCATATCTCCAATTTATACAAAGTTCCATTCCCTTTCACGAGTTTTAAAGTTTGAAACTCCTGAAAAAGCCAACTGTCGCACCAATCTCAAGAGAATTCTCCTTAACTGTGACATCAGGGGCTTAGCCAGGATTTTTCAAAAGGAGGGGGGGTGTCAGAGAGGCTACTCACCAGATTGTTTTGTCGACCTCCACGCCGTGCATGTTTTACTTTACGTTACAGTTTTGGGATGAGCAGTGAGAGTATAGTGGGTAGGCCAAGATATTGTCATGGCGTTTTCACCACCTGAATATTGTAGGTTGTTTGATCAAAAGAAGGCTTACCATGGGGGGGTCACTCTATCGCCTACAAATTCAA